TTGCCGCAGAATGAATTGATGGTGAAGGCGAATACTATGAAGAACCACTTAGCTCGATTAGGAAGAGAGCTACCGGTTAAGAAGCTACGTACTTAGCCATTGGGGCAATGAGTTGGCTGATAAAGGATTGTACGTCCTCATACGAGCTAGTATGTATGGTCTCCTAATTAGTGTAGATCATTGTCGGGTGTAAAAATTGACTTCCTGTTTGAGGGGTCGTTTGTATTTATAAGAGTGGCTTATTACAAACTAATGATTAATGTTTACGACAGAGTAGAAGGGGAATGAGACTTCTTGTTTAACGTGGGTTCTTCGGTAGCGGTAGGACGCCTCCCTCGGTGCTCGTGCCGAGTTTGCTTCCCTTAGACGATCCGATCGAAGTTACGGTTGGAGTTCAAATGCACGAGCTTGATAAGCATCAAGGCCGAATGCACCAAGAAGGCTACAATGCAAGAGTTTGCAGAGCCAATGAGCCAAGAGTCTCCAAATCTGAGAGTTCAGATTGAGACTTTAAAAATGCTAAGGGGGCTGTCCCAAAAAATGTCCAACCAACCACTTAAAAGGTGAAGTTCTAAAGAAGGCCAAGACCCTTTCTCATGTAGCCATCAATGGCTATTTATAGAGAAAAAGTGGTGAGCAACCACTTTCTTAGAACATGAGGGAATGGATGTGACCATTCCCTTAAATTATGGGAAATGACCCTTCTCATGTTGGGTATGGTTAATCCCTTAAATCATGAGAATTGACCGCTACCTTACTGGGTATGGTCAATCCCTTAAACCAAGGAAAGTGACTGTACTCATGCCTCAAGTGGGCGGCTGACAGGCTAGGCGAGTGTAGGGTCGAAAAATTGGCTGGGATTGATTCTCTTGTTTTAAGAAAACTGAGTTCGATCACTTGGTACGAAACTCTTACAATCACTCACACTCTCTCTCGATTACAGATAAAAAGAAGATTAATTCAGCTCTTCCTTGTTTAATGTGGGTTCTTGGTGGCGAAATGATGCTTCCCCCAATACTTGAGTCGAGATTGCTTCATGTTGACGATCAGAATAAGATTGTTGAAGTTTCTCACGTTCGTTAACCGGCTAGAACTGAGGTTCGAACTCCGGATCGGTACGTAGAAACTCTGATCTCCGATGATTGCCAAAAGTCCGAATCAAAAATCTCCAACTACTCTATAGCTGCTTGCGGCTATTTATAGAGCTTTAGTACGTAATTGACGTGCTACAATCGTAGGGTCGTGGGCGTAACCGACTCCTGAGATTTAGCCTATGTTAATTAATGGAGCGTAACGTACTCAGATTTAGCCCACGTGGGCTGACTTGGTCCTTGTGGCCGTTGTTAGACCCTAGAGGAGGGGTGATTAGGGTCTTATGCTAATCTAATCCGATTAAATACCAATTAAAACTAATTAATAAGTTATCCTAACAAGTATGAACTACAACAAGATATATGAGCTAGGATAAGCAATATGAACAATGAGATATATCCTAGCAAAGAGATATAGGCAATGTATGTGCAAGGATATAAAACTAACACAAGGTGATATATCCTACCAAAGAGATATACAATATGATATATGCAAGGATATGTAAACTAACACAAGGGTAAACAAAATGAACTAGATAGTGGATGAAATAAATGAGCAATGCACAATTGGCGATATAAGATAAATGCAAAAACAAATGCGCCAATGACAAACCCAAACACACTCAAATGATCACGGAGTTCGGACCTTCCGTCCTACGTCTCCGCTCCCCACTCCCGAGGAGAAATCCACTATTACAACCAGGTTTTCTACGCTCACCCGAATAACGTTTACACCTCACAGTGTCGGTTTTCAACGCTCACTGATCAACGTCACTCCTCACACTCGGTTTTCTAGTTCACCGAAAACTTCACAACACACTCGGTTTTCTAGTTCACCGAAAACTTCACAACACACTCGGTTTTCTAGCTCACCGAAAACCTTACAATCTCACAATGTAACAATACAACAAATAATTGTTCTCTAATATGGATGAGAACTCAATTAGGCTCAACTCAATGTTACTATCTCTCACAACCCCAAATATATTATGAATGCAAATACAATAAGCTCAAGTGGGTGTGTGTAACAATGAGATTAATCAAATCTAAACTCAATATGAAACTAGCTTTAATAAGATGATAATCAAACAAATAAATATAAAGCTAGAAAAGAGTTTAGAAAACTTCTCAATAGATGACAAGAGATGGAGGAAGAATAGTTGATTGCTCAAACTCCAATAGATGATCTCCTCAAGCTCTTGTGGAATTTTCTTCACAAACAAACTCTTGAAACAAACTTAAAAACCCTTCAACAAACTTGTAAAACTCTTTTTAAAACTCTCTTAAACATCCATAAGAAACAATGAAAGTTGAGGGCTTTTTATAGCCTCTTAAATCAGCCACAAACCCCCAAAAACCGAAAATATCTAAAACTAGCCGTTATAGGCTGAAAAGACCAAAATACCCCAAATTCCAGCATTCTAGAAATTTGTGTATCTAACTTTATAAAATCAATTAAAAATAGTAAATCAATTCCAAAAATTATGAAATTTTTACAGAAGGTTGTAGACATGTAGAAGAACACGTTAGAGAAAGAATTTATGAAAAATCATTTCTCATTTGAGAGAAATAAATGTTTGAACACAGATAAACAGTTTCTAAAAAACTGCTGAAAACTCGGTTTTGTAAATTCAATTAAAAATAACAAAACAACTTCAAAATTAGTAAAACTTGGGGAAATGTTTGTATATATGATAATAAATATGTTAACGAAGAAATTTTTCAAATCTCATTTCCCAATTGTGAAAACGTATCTGTTTTGTAAAAACATACACGGACACATGCACGTACATGAACAAAAAACTTGATTTTTCCAAAAACGAGTTCAAACAACTTGGAAACACTTTAGAATGGATTTGTAGACATTATACGAGATATGAAAATAGTGTGAACAAGTCTTCAATCTATAAACACAATATTTTCTAAATACAATAGAATATGAAACAAATAAAAGTGTATATGAAGATATATATTGTTTCATATCTACATAACTAAACGAAAACAACTTAACCATATGAAAACAAACATGTATATATATAAATATGTATTTGTTTCATATTTAAACTAGAAAATCAAAACTTGTATTTATATATATGACTATATATATATATATATAAAACCAAATATGTGTATGTGTGTATATGATTGAGCTTAAAGTATTGAACACACATAATATAACTCTAAACAAATATACCCAAGCAATCTTGATCTTCAATAAGCTTGACTTGGTACACTTGCGGATGAAGCTTGAACTTGGATCTTAAACTTGAATTGCATTACTTCAACCACTATATCCGCCATCCTCCATTTGATATGATCGTTATGGCGCAATCCATCAAACCTCCAACTACGTTGTTTGTCTATAATAAATAAAAAAACACAAATACTAGACAAACAACATTAGTGGTAAATTGTTTGTTAAACATCATCAAAACAAGAAGGCCAACAGCCGTTACAACCGAACTTCGTGTGGATGATGAGCCTCGTTGCGTGGTGAGGTTCGTTAGACAAGCTTCGTCTTCACTGACGAGCCTCATCTTCACTGACGAGCTTCGTCTTCATTGACACGCTTCAAATCTTGTTTCCAACGACAAGCTTTGTTGTTTGAGACGAGGTTCGTCATAGTAATGACCCTCGTCATGCTTGTTATGAGTTTCGACTCTCCAAAGCCAAATGATTAGCCGATGATCTATGAAGATCCATGAGAGTGGAGGAGAGATAGGCTTTTTGACTAGCCTCTCCATCTCCTCCCCCTCCTTTCATGTTGATGATGCCTATTTATAGGCTTAGGACCATTATGGAGTGAGTTAATGGGTTTTAACTCCCCTTATAATGAGGGAGTTATGGTTATTAACTCATATTTAAATGAGTGAGTTAATGGTCATTAAGTCTTCTTAAATGAGTGAGTTATGGGTCATTAACCCTCCTTAAATGTAGCATCTGGAAATGGTGACAAACGAGATTCGTCAATAACGACAACGGCGAACTTCGTCTTCAATAACGAACTTTGTTTCTGGCGAACTTCATCTTCAATGACGAACTTCGTTTCTGGGCGAACTTCATCTTCAATGACGAAGTTCGTCTTTTGAGGGGTGAGGTGCTATTTGACGAGGTTCGTCTGTGGATGAACTTCGTCTCCTGAAAGGGCTTCATTTCCTAGAGGAGTTTTGTTCCCAATGATGAACTTTGATGTCGAGCCTCGTTGCGTGGCGAACCTCGTCTTGTGACGTTGAGCTTCGTTGCATGGCGAACCTCGTCTTCTGACGTCGAGCTTCGCTGCATGGCAAACCTCGTCTTTTGATGTCGAGCTTCGCTGCGTGGCGAACCTCGTCTTTTGATGTCGAGCTTCGCTGCATGGCGAACCTCATCTTTTGATGTTGAGCCTCGCTGCGTGGCAGACCTCGTAGGCGAAGCTGTTAGGCGAGCTTCAATCAGTTCAGGTGAGCTAAGTTGTCAGGTGAACTTAGCATTGCAGGCAAACTTCAATGTTCAGGCGAAGTCCGGTCTTGCAGGTGGGCTTCAGAACATGCTGCGAAGAACGGGTCATAACTTTCAAACCGTAAGTCGGAATTGGACGAATTATATATGAAAATCAACTATCTCGACGAGACGGAGCCAACCAAACCATCCCCAAAGGGTTCGGTTTGCTCCTGTCCGTTTCGTCAAATTCTTTATGGTTTGAGAGATATTAGCATTTTTTGTCAGTTTTGAGAGATATATAAGAATATTAATTTAATTCTGTGCATCAGACCGGTAACAACTAGTAGTCAAATAAAACTGTATCCGACCTTTTGGCTCATCAGTTTCCGTAATTCTAACGGCGTTCTCCCTTTCACAACCTCATTTCTTCAATAAGACCTCCACCTTCAAAATCTTCCCCCATAAAATCTCCCGCCGTCAAATTCCTTCATGCGTTCTTCTCTCTCATCATCGTCATCATCAGCATCATCTCCCTCATTCAATCTCAAACCATCCCCCACACTCTCCCTCTCTCCACTCTCTCACCTCCCACACTCCACTCACCGCTCAACTCTCTCTCACCTCCTCTCTCTCTCCTCCCTCCCCCCCTCTCTCTCCTCCACCCACTACTCCCTCTCTCTCTTCCACCAAATCAACAGACCCAACACCTTCGCCTCCAACAGCCTCATCCGATGCCTCGCCAAATCCCCAAACCCAAGCCACAGCCTGCACTTTTATGCCCACATGCGGAGAATTGGGATACCCACTAATAATTTCACTTACCCATTTGTTCTTCAAGCCTGTAGCAAGGGTTCTTTGATGCCTGAAGGTGTTCAGATTCATACCCATGTTTTAAAATTTGGGTTTGATAGAGATTTGTATGTGAGAAATGGTTTGATTGGGTTTTATTGCGCTTGTAGTGATCTGGGTAGCTCTAGAAGGGTTTTTGACGGCTACCCATTTGTTAGGGATGTGGTCAGTTGGAATGTGATGATCGTCGGGTATGCGAGGGCTGGGGAGATTTGTGTTGCGGAGAAGGTGTTTGATGATATGCCTGAGAGAGATGTGGTTTCGTGGAGTAGTATGATTGTGGGTTATGTTTCAAATGGGATGTTGGAGAAGAGTCTGAAACTTTTTCGACAAATGATTGATAAGAGATTGGCAGTGAATGAGGCGGCGTTGGTTACTGTTCTATCTGCATCGGCTCAGTTGGGTTTGTTGGATTATGGTAGTTTTGTTCATGAAAGTATAAAGAAACTGAAGTTTCCGTTAACGATCAATATTGGTGCAGCTTTAGTAGATATGTATGCAAAATGTGGGTGTGTAGAGCTTTCGAGACAAGTGTTTGATGATTTGCCTAAAAAAGATGTTTTTGCTTGGAACGCGATGCTTTGTGGATTAGCTACTCATGGGTTGGGAAAAGAAGCCCTTGATCTTTTCGAAAGATTTACTGAAGAAGGTTTTCATCCGACAAATGTGACTTTTGTTGGAGTACTGAATGCTTGTAGCCGCGCTGGTCTGGTTAATGAAGGAAGACAACATTTCAATTCAATGATACGTGATTATGGTATCGAGCCAGAGATGGAGCATTATGGATGTATAGTTGATCTTTTAGGTCGAGCTGGGCTTGTAAATGAAGCGGTCAAATTGATTGAAAATATGAGCATTAAACCTGACCCAGTTTTGTGGGGAACTCTATTAGGAGCGTGCAAAATGCACGGGTTAGTTGAGCTTGGTGTATCGATTGGAAGTAAATTGCTTGAGTTAGAGCCTGCCCATGATGGGCATTATGTTCTTTTAGCTGGTATTTATGCAAAGGCGAAGAAATGGGACGATGTATTAAAGATTAGGAAATTGATGGCTAACCGTGGTACTAATAAATCTGCGGGTTGGAGCTTGATAGAAGCTCATGGAAATGTTCATAAGTTTGTGGCAGGGGACAAAGATCATGAGCGATCTTTGGAGATCTATAAAAAGCTTGAAATGATCGGATTGAGATTGGAAAATGCTGGTTATTTGCCTGGTATTTCGTCGGTTTTGCATGATATTGGAGATGAAGATAAGATTCATGTGATAAAGGAGCATAGCGAGAGGCTAGCTATTGCTTTTGGATTGATGGTGATACAAGTTGGATATCCTATAAGGATTGTTAAGAATCTTAGGGTTTGCGTGGATTGTCACGAGTTTAGCAAGATGGTAGCAAAGGTTTTTGATAGAGAGATCATTGTGAGAGATGGGAGTAGGTTTCACCATTTCAAGGATGGGAGATGTTCTTGCCTCGATTATTGGTAGGAGATATTGATTTTGGCGATGGGAACGCAAGCTGTTTGATACCAACCGCACATAAATTATGGTTTTCTTCCGGGCTTCGAACCAGAAGGTTACTGAATAGCATGTTCAGATCATGCTTTTTATCGTTCTTTCGGATATCTACATTTGTATGTTATTGTTATCTGGACCAAGTTCAAGATGGAGGCTAAGGCTGTGACAATTTAACAAGAACTACTGTTTCAAAGAAAGGAAACCATTGTTCCAAGCAAAATGTAAGCTTTAGCTTTTTCAACTGTTGTAATCTACACATGGTATGATTTGCAACAGGATATGCACATATTCTCACAAGTGTGAAGTTATTGAATAACACAGCAAGCTTTTCTGCTCTAATAACAACTGAAAGAGAATGATGAGTGCAGGAAAGGTTATGCGTACAAATGCAATGAATTTAAAAGTTGGGTGTTAGAAGCAAGCGCTCTCTCTCCCCTCTTTCGAGCATCCTACCGTGAAACATGACATAACAAAAGGAGAGCTTGAAATATTTGCTTTCTGCTCCCAAAATCCAATACAAATAAAGCGAGCAGCTGTATAAGCAGAAAGAAATGACAATGTTGCAGTTCTAGATTACTCATCATGGATATGATTCTGTTTACGTAACTGGCAACCTTGCTTCAGAAAAATTCTTTATATATACATGAACTATATTGGCTTACAAAAATATGAAGACCTCAAAGGTCAAAACATTGAAACTTCTTGTAGTATAGACAAACACTACTTGTAAGTTGATTTAAGTTTGCTTTAGAATCTCAACGGAATTCCTTCCCTCATCTAAGAATACAACAGCTGAGGATGAGCTCTTTAACTCAGAGGAACACCATTCACAAGATAATGATCAAGAAACACCACTGTTCTCTTCTTCATGCTTACGTAGACAAGGTAGAGAGACTGAAATACCTGTCATCAGGAATTCAGAAGCTTCTATATAGAAGTTGATCAGTTATCAGAT